AGCCAATCTAATATGATATAAAATTAACTACTTACACTGAATACTGATGTAGACTATGTATATTCCACAATCTCTACTATTAGGAGAGTAACGAAGGGAATATATACAAATTTTCCTATAACTCCCATATTCCACTCGCTAATAATTGTTCTCTCAAAACAATTCTATTGGTTCTTCTTAAATCAACTATTTTGGAGTCTCAATGAATCTTTCCGTGGAGCCTTTTCAGTTAAACTAATAAATGAATATTTAATAAAAATGACAAAATATTGTCAGAATCCTCTAATGCAAATATGTTTATAACGTGATTGATTTAACTATTACCCGAGAAATCAAAACCTATACTGAACATTCAATAATCTGATTGGTTTCAATAATTATAGAAATTTAGTCTCAAATTAGTAGCTTAATTTTGATTATACATTTAGTAGATTTATTATATATAAATATTATAATCTATTATAAAAATATAAGTAGCTAAACAATCTATATTATAGTGATACACTTTCAAGACTATTAAGCCTATCCACCTCAGCAAGTTTACGGGCCCCACGTGTGTTATTAGGGAAAACAAAAACGTATAACATTTTGTAAGATTGAATGTTATCGATGAGTGATGAAATGGCCCAGTGGTGTAAGTTGGTGACTATAAGTTGGTACCGCGAGTGCGCGGGTTCGAAACGCAGTGTTTGCATGTAATTGTTTTTTTAATTTGGGCTTTTCGGGATACCTAAAAGCTTAGGGAGATTCAAAATGATTTTTTTATGCTGGTTGTTGGGATACAAAATGGCTTAAGGATTTGAAACTTTATGAGACCATATTAGATACTTTTATAAGAAATGTTATCATGTTCTAATCCCCAATATCATTTCAATTCAGTTATAATAATCAAATAAAATAAAAACATATTTTCAATAATAAATATTTATCCCGAACCATTCAGATCGGCCATAAATCTCATATACATCACAATTAAAAAATATATATATATATACAACATAATTTCAGAAAGAAAATTACACAAATAAACACATGTCAGCGCCACTAATTTGCATAATGTAGACAAAATAAAATTTACCATCTATAGAGCTGATAAAATTCTGAAATCCAATACAACATGTGAATTAGAGGATTTTTTTTCTTTCGTTTCCTTTGGTTTGGCTTCTTCTTATAAGAGAGATTGAGTTGGGAGGGCGCCATTGTTAATTGGAGCTCAGATTTCTCAGCAAGAAGTAGGAATATTGTGGAGCGATTGATGAAAAACACCAGGGTTTTCATGCCTATTTATAAGAGTAGATTGTAAGAGGGTAACAGTGGAGGAAAAGGATAGAAATGAATGTCCTTAATAAAGATCTTAATTACATGAGTTGATCATGTTGGTGTGATACACTACAATTTGGAGGTGGTGAGTGTTATGTCAATGCTTCAGAACTTCAAAAGAGCTTGAGAAAGAAGAAATCAAATGTGACATAGTGAGGATGGGTGGTTTGACGATATTAATTGTGACGTTAAATTACTTGGTTTCAGTGAAGTGTGATGTTTGTTTTGCGATGCATGTAATGGGAGCTAGGGTTTCAGACACGATAGTGATTCACAGTGGATGAATTTGGTGGCCAAGTTGGGCAACATCTAAACCCAAAAAGCATAAAAGCCTATTTTTAGAAGTTAGCAATTGTAAGAAAACTCAAAAAATGTTTGAAAGTCCATTTGCAAGAGTTGGGTTTCAAAACATAATAAGAAGGTTTACCATAGTCTGCCACATGTCGCAATATGGAACAATGTGAGCTGACGTAACGTCATGAGGAGAAGTATCTTTACTTTATTATTATAGAAAAAGATATACAGCTAACGTAATTAGTTTGAAATTTTTAACGCTCATTCTCTCTATGCATATTCTCTGTGGCTACCCTTCAAGTTCAAGAAAGCATGGTTCTCTCCCGAGAATTTAAGACACTTGAGTCAAGAATCATTGATGGGACTAATGACAGGGACGACTACGTTGAGGCTCTAAACCATCTAAGTAAAACTCGATCAAAGGAGAACACTTCATCGTCGCTCTTCTGTCCGCTTTCCAAGAAAACGATGAACAATCCTGTGACATTGGTTTCCGGAGAGGTTTGGCTTTTTCACTCAGTTTTTTGGTTTAGTATTCGAGCCATAATGTGTATTTTAGTTTCTTCTCAGAGGGATGAAGCCAAAAAATTCCATTGCCGAGCTATACAGTTCCCAAACTTCTGCATCTTTATCTTTCCAAATTAGATGATTCCAACATCAGATCTTATGATTTACTAGACAAAATTGTTTGACATTATATCCATGTCTGAATTTAAATTTAAATATTTGAACAGTCTTTGTGCAAAGAAGCATCATTGCATATGATTCCAAGAAGCATACCATACATAAACAACTTTCTTCTCCCTTGCTTTTAGGTATTTTCAATTTTCAATACTTATTCTTAAACATTTTTGAGGAATCAAGTTGTAAATAATTTTCACAAAGGAATTAAATTTATCTTCTTGATTTCCTCTCTACAAGCCAAACGCGGTTGAGAAAATGACAGAACTCGAGTTTGTATTCACTCTTCTAAAATTCTTACAACGCCCAGTCTACCAATCAAATGTGGAAAACCCTTTAGTGATCATCTTCAATGTAAGTGAATAGATAGATCAAGATTAGAATTTGTCAGTAAATAGGAGAAACAAAACATACCTGACGAGTGTTGTTGTCAACGGATCTGAACATACACAGATAATGTCGCTAAGAATTCTCAAGAAACTCCCGGTTGCAGCATGATAAAAGAATCTCATACATGTATAGAAATATGAAGGAGATAGTTCCAGCATTTAGCATAAATAGCCACACAAAAATTTCGCCATTCTCTGATTTTGTTTGGAGACAATATATAGATATGATACTAGTTGTCTATAGCCAAAATTGTTACAGTTGATTTTTGCGTTATTACTTTTTTTTTCTGTTTACAGTTTCACAGTAAACAAATATTCAAACATTTCATATTTTTTAAACTTGAAATATCTCAGGCGTATGATAGAAGAACTCTCAGACCGGAGAGATACTACCCATAAATGAACACTTTTTCAGAGTATTCAAATGAGTCTCTAAGCAATTAGTCCGTATCCACGTAGTCACATAATAGAGTATAGTAGGGTGTTTTCGAATCTGAATTGCTTTACATCCCAAAGTCGGTCTACCACTAGACCACCACCACATAGTTAATATAAGAAATGTGTGAGGGTGTTATTTAGGTAATGAATCTTCATTTTTCTGTGGATAAATATAATTTTTTTTGTTATATAGCTATCTGCCTTTGTGAATTTCTATAATAATAGGAATCTTAATATCTTATACAGTAAAAGTAAAAGCCTAAAACCCCTATTAGGAAAAATTGCTTTACGACTCCTCTTCCGCCTTCAAGGTAATGCTCTTGTTGATACAGGTCCGATTCATTTCTGCTATATTCCCCTTTCATTCAACTGCTTCGATACCTTGACTCCATATGCTCAAAGCTTAGTCGAGGTTTAAAATGCTTTTTGAATCGTGGAATTAGACTCAAATTTAGGGTTTGGGTGCCATTATGACGAGAACGTACTTACCAATTGTGTCTTTTTTGAGGAATGTCGGATTTGCTTACCTCATTATTGTAGCATATCTGTGAACTGTCGGAGCAATTGGTATGACCTTATTCCATTATCTACAAGCACCTCTTGAATAATACAGAACCCATGTAGTTTATTCTTGGTTATCTAATAATGTATGCGTTTTATTGGACGATGCAAGCAAGGTTGTCTTCATTTTGTAATCTTAAAGCCAATCCTAGTTGCTGTCACACGTGTGTTTTATTCAAAGGTGAAATACAAGGATGGAAATTTAATCAATCCGATATCTATCCTACACAGTAGCTTTGTGAGAAAGAACAAACACATATTTGGAAAAAGATAGATGGTGTTTCGCCCTCCAGTCACCTGTCTTCAGGAACTAACACTGTTCTAGCACCCCCTGAGACCATTAAATCTTTCCTTGTTGGTGGATGCCTCAGACTTTTGGCTTAATGTATAGCCTGTCGTACATTGGCATCCATATATATAACTACTCAAGCAAGGTAACCTCTGAAAATGTTATTGGACGATCTAGATATGAGGAAGATGATTTAGGATCCACCATTCGCAGTAACAAATGTGTTGGATCCAGGAGTTTCTCAAGTGTGCTGTTAAGCAGGAAAATGTTAACTGGAGACGGAGATAAATGCGTTTACTCTTGCATGTGTAATCCCTTGTACTTGTGAGTCTCCCACTGATATTTTACTTTACACAGCATATTTCTTGTTTTTGCGGTTCACTATCTTTTGGTTTGTAGATATGAAATGATTATGAATTTTTGGTTACATAATCTCAATTTTTTTTTTAATCATTTGGCGTGGATTTAGAAAGAGATGACAAAGCTTTAGAAGTATAAACCATCAAATAATTCTATAATAACTAACCCGTCTAGTCATATTGGTCGGAAGTCTGCATCAAGTATACTTGTATGGGTTGGACTTTAATCTAACTTCCCAATTTGTCAAAATTCAATAAAAAGATCAAAGTTCACGTTCTGCTGCAAAAGTAGATGAATGATTCTTCCACATCAAATCTTGGTAAAAGATTAGGCCAAGTTGGTATTATTAAGAAGGAAGAAGACTTGATATCATAAGAGGCACGGAATTTACAACAGAAATATTGACTCCAAAAATTCATCATGCAGTAGGGGAGTGAGAGCTGGGTATCGTGATGGTAGATAGAGGATGAGGTGGTAGCAAAGATAGATTGAAGAAAGAGTTTTTTTAGTTGATTGTTATCAAATTTTGTAGAAAATCATAAAAAGACACACATTGTTGTAACAAGGTCTTTTCTTTTTTGAATTAAATTTAACATTCAATTCAAAAAAAAAAAATCATTATGAAAAATCTATTGTTGAAAAACTGGTCTCATTATAATCAAATGGGCCAAAAATGTTAAAAGAGTATCTACAACATTCAAAAAATAATATTTACAAGCACCTTTTGGTTAGTAGTTTACATTTTTTTTTTATGGTTTCATTTATGGGTATCGTCTGAAACCTAGATTTATTTCTTGGCTGGGAATTTACCCTTAATCTTCTGAACCTCCTGTGTTTCTAAATAAAACGCCTTGGCAAGCAAGTCATCAGGAATCGGAGGGTTAGCACCAAAAAGAGACGGTCCAACACCTTGAGCCCCAGAGTTCTGACTATCAAAAGCAGCGAGCACAGAAGCAGGAGCATTGTTAGGATTCTGCTGGAAATGGAGAAGACCTCTGGGGAATACAAAGACGTCTCCCTTGTTGAGATGTTTGGAGATGAGTTTTCTAGTGGTGGTCAAGAATCCAACGAAAAGACGTCCTTCTAGGACGAATATGGCTTCAGATGCTCTGGGGTGAAGATGAGGCGGGTTGAGTCCGCCTGGTGCGTAGTCGACCCGAGACATGGATAGTCCCAAAGTGTTGAGGCCAGGGATTTTCTCAACGTTGGCACTTGTAACGGCTGAGCCCATTGTGGGGTTTGTGGTGGTTGCAGCATTGGCTAAGCCTGCGAAGTAGAAGTCATCTGGTGTTACTTGTGCTGGGTCTTTGCATGGGTATCCGTTGACTTTTTCACCTAATAAGAACGTGATTAAAGTCAACAACAACAACATTAATAAGTTGTAAGAAAAATTAGTGATTCTAGTTCATATATATACATATACTTAACAAATACAAAAAAGAGACGTATCCTCTTTATTATTTAAAAATGTGGCATGAATCTACTTTATTCCAGAATATAAATGTTAGAAGAACATATAAAGAGAGATATGATACCATTGAGATCAGCAACACAAAAATCTTGGAGCATGTTTGATTCGGCAAAAGCCGTGTGGGCAGCAGCCACAAGCAAGATGGTAACAAAAAGATAAATCATGGAAGTTGCCATTGTTGGTTGTTGTCGAGAAATGTTATTGTTGAATTTGAAAATATCCTTCTACCTTACTTCGCAATTTATATATCCATGTCAAGAAGATCTAACAATGGAGAGTAAACAAATAGGGAACATAGGCTCGTTAATTTTAAACCTTTACCATAATTAGGTTTAGTTTAGGTGTTCTGATCGTTGGTTTATAATTGGTGATTAAAATGGCTCTTGAATGTTTGGGACATCAATTAGCCTATAGTTATAGGTTGACACTCGCCATAAATACACCTTCAAACCCTAATAATTAACAATCTTGAAATGGTTAAAAGAGTGGACAATGATGTTGGTTGCTCATTGGTTATAAAACTCAATAGGTTTATTTAGGGTATTTTTCTATTTCTATCCAAACAAATCAGAGTTTTAAATTGGCTAAAGGTGAACAAAATCGAATTTATCTACCCATGCATTTGCATGATCATAAGATATATAATATAAAACTTGTATGGGGGGGCAACTACGTACAAAATTAGAATAGAATATGGGACTAAATATATTCATAAGTTTTTGTATAATGAAACAAATTCATTCCTCAATAATGTAGCAAGTAGAGTCCATATATAAAATGATAGCTGAATACCAACTAAGTAATTTATTCACAATATATTTATAAACGTGCATCCAAGCACGTAGATACTGTAATCTCTTTGATTATTTAATACTGATCAAAGACAACCTCAACATTATTACAATCTGTCATCTCGTGTCTTCACATGTTTCCAATAACACCTTCTCTTCTTTCTCCATCGTTCAAATTCCACTAATCCATCATGACTGTGAAGGTAACTAACCTATTACCATTAACCAGTGTTCTCAAACCTAATGATTCTATTTTTGTGTGTTCTTATTTTCTATGTGGTTTTGAGCAGAAAGTTGAGATCAAGGTGGATATAAACTGTGGGAAATGCAATAGCTCAATCTTGGAAGCAGTCACAGTGATAGAAGGTACTAAGAATAAAGTCTTAAAACAATCAGTTCTCTAACATATCATGTTTACTAAAACATGAGATTTTGATGCAGGTGTGAATCATATTTCATTAGATGAAGAGAACAACATACTTACTGTGGTGGGGACAATGGATCCGGTCTGTGTAGCATCACGGTTGAAGAAAATTAAACAGAAACCTGTAATCATTAGCGTTGGACCACCACCAAAACCTCCTGAACCACCAAAGCCTCCAGAGCCTGAGCCAGCAAAGCCTCCAGAAGCGCCTGAGCTACCAAAGCCTCCAACACCACCACCTGAAAAACCAAAGCCTGTATGCAATTGCAAGCCTATGACTCCTTACTGCGCAAGTTGTGATGTTGTGTCTGTTACTACCTATGAAAGTGGAAGCGGCTGCACCATTCTTTGAGTCTTGTATTTATTACCTTAGTTACTACAACCTATATTTGTCAAGACTCGTTTCTTTTTCTAGAATGCTATTTTTAATAAGATATGTATTTTTGATGTTGTTTCTTATTGGAGAAATGTAAAATAAAACCCAAAGCAATGTTTTGCTCATAAGAGTTTACATGCAATCACAAAGAAATGATTTTCCTCTTTTGTTAAAAGAAACCATAAACGAAGCAATACTTAATGTGTGATTATAGTTCCACAATAAATGAAGCAACACTTAAAATGTGTTTTCTATATAAGAAAAGAAGAATAAAATAGGTTTTTATTTTTACATGTTGCAGCCAATAGAGAACAAGGTGAACGAGGAAGCTAAGTTGATGGAAAGAGAGACTGTTTTGCAGGAAAATGAAAGTGGTGAGAAGAAGGAAGCTGAGCAAGTGGAAATTAAAGAACCAACCATTGTTGCAGAGGTTGATACTGAGCTGGCGATGAGGAGATATCAGAAGAGAAGCAAATAGTGGAGAGTGTTGTTGAAGAAGACAACAAGGATAAGGAGGAGACAAAGGTGGGTTGATGTCTCGGGATCAAGAGATGAAGCAGGAAGCAAACAGGTGGGAACCAGTTGATGCTCACCTTGTTAGAGAAGTACCTTCAGAGACTGAAGAAGACGTTTCATCTCCTGCTGATGTCATTCAGAAGGTCATCACTGAAGAGAAGCATGTCCAAGAGAACGTGAATGAATCCAAAGATGTTGGTAACTAAACTAGCTACAGAAGATGAGAACATCATAAAAGATACTGAAGGCAAAAGCGAAGAGACTGCTACAGAATCAAAAGAGAAGGAAACTGAAGGAAAGAAACAAGAGGAAGCAATAATAGAGAAAGTAGTTGAGGTTGGAGAAACAGAAGAGAGCGATGAGCAGAAACAACAAGCAGAAGTTGCTGTGAAGCAAAAACATTCAAACAGTATCATGTCAAAGGTGAAGCAATCCCTTGTTAAGGCAAAGAAAGGCATCATTGGAAAATCTTCAAGCTCTAAGACTATCACTACTGAAGAATCCAAAGAAGAAACCAAAGGCAAGTGATAAAGAAGTTATAGCTTCCTTTAAAGTTTTTCAAGGTATTACAATTTTTTTTGCCTCCTGTGTGTGTAAAAACTAAAAACAGAACATTCGTTTTCTGTGTTTATGTCTTTGTGTGGTTATAACTTATATCTGTAAACCTACAAAGATTTGGCTTTGTGTGTTATGGATGTGTGTTGAGAAATTTCTTCAAGTAATTGTCATTGACGTAATCCAAGTAATGGGCCTTAATGGGCTTTGATGAGCCTTAATGGGCTTATATTGTAACCCAAGTAATGTCAAGTATAACTGGGGTACAAAATCATCAACAAAACCAACCGGTTAAGATGAATGTCGGCAGGATTGCTTCTATTCGGAAGGATAAGAACTGATTAGTTTCAAGAAGGAAGATGTTACCACTTATTTTATAACAAGAAAAAAACGACATAACCACCTTTGATTAGGACATCATATATATAAAGTAAGAAACACTTTTGATATGTGTGGTGTCAATTCGATGCCACGGTTATGCGTTGGTGTCGGCCATATTATTTTAATATTTTAATTGTTGAGTGTAACGAAAGCAACTTTAGGAAGAAATAACATATGCTATTATACTTGACAGACGAAGCCAGACTAGAATGATCCAAAGACCACACTATCACAAAGATCTACTGAAAATATCATTATTATTTTTTAACTTTCTTGATTTGCATCAAAGAGTATTCGATGCCAACTAAGCTTAGCTGTCATTAACATACATAATAGTTGTTGACCAAAAAAAACATACATGATAGTTGATTGGCTAGCTAATTAGTTTTCTCTAGAAAATATGGAAGTTGAAATGAAGCCAAAACAAGTCATACGTCAACAACCACGTACAATTTTGAGTTTTGTAGCATTCTTCAGAGTTTACAGCTCTTTAGTTTATCTTAAGAATGCTTAATTAATTACCGGTAATTGAAACGCAGACCGGTAAATAAGTTCATATCATACTAAATACGATATCCAAACCAGCCATCCATCTATATTAATGATGCAAAATACAATACAGTGAATACAAACCGAGTAATGAACACAGAGCATGGACTTGGCACGTGAGAGGACGGCCGGATAATGTGTTGATGGACCTGAAGGCATGTGAGAGGTCAACGTGTCATGTTACTGTTGCTAGAAGGTGTGAAAGTTATATGTAGCCATACCTCTCGCCGAACTCCACGGCGGAGATTGTCCCGGCCCACATTCCTATTCCGACAACAAAATGGTTTTTGAGCAGTATTGTATTGATAATGCGTTGTGCTCGGGCTACGTGTAGCTTCTGTGTTAAGCCATTTAACTTCCTGACAAGTACCATGAAGTTTAGTCAAATGTAAGTTTTTCATGATAGGTTTGTTATTTTTTCGTACACGCATCTATTATCCATGGCCATTAATTAAATTTCTCCTACATCACCTTCAATTAATATAATGATATAGTATTGCACAAAAATAGTGTTTAAGAAATAAAGGATATACTATTGCATATAATTTTTTCTTTTTTGGGTGCCCAAGAGATTATAGAATCACACAACAAGACAACCTCAACTAAATAATGTGACTCATCCCAATACTCATATATAGGACATTTTTAATATTTAAATATGAATAAATATGATATGCTGTTTTTATCATTTAGTTTGATTCAACAATAGATTTACTTAAAGAAAAGAAGGAAACAAATCAATAAATCATTAAGGTTTACCAATTTTTTTGTAAAACTATATACCTCAAAAGAAAAAGGGACAAAATACAGAGCAGGCACCACGTGGCTTGGCTCATATAATATTTCTAAAGTCAGGTCTATATATACTGAGATCATAACACGGAGAGTCAAGAATCCAAAATCATCAAGAGAAGTTCTATATAATTTTCTTACAAATTTAAACAGCTTGAAGATGAGTACCGCCACTTTCGTAGAAATCCTTTTGGCTATCCTCTTGCCTCCTCTCGGTGTCTTTCTCAAATTTGGTTGCAAGGTACATGTTATCTTCAGTTTGATTACTACTGTGTTATTTTCAGTCTTATAAAAACTCGATCGTATTAAAAAAATTGAGAATTTTATTAAATTTTTGTTTGCAGGTTGAGTTTTGGATATGTTTGATCTTGACGCTGTTTGGTTATCTTCCCGGGATCCTTTACGCTCTTTATATCATCACCAAGGACTGATTGTTCCTATCTCCGATCTGTTCTTTCCTCTCGGTCTCCTTGTAAGCTTCTCTCTGCGATCTCTCGCTCTCGATATGTATCTAATATAATTGTATTCACATACATGCATATGTGATGGCTACACAACGAGATTTACATAAAGATAAATCATCTTTGATTTAGTGGACATAGTTTGGTATATGTTAGGTGAACCACGTTTTCTAAGTTATAAAGACTCCCTAACCCTGATAAGAAATTAGTGAGATATTGTTAATGTATCATTTTCGCAAAACCATCGAATAATAGCATCAAGAGAGGTTAAATTTTTTTTTTTTTTTGTCAACGAGGTCAAAGTTACATTATTAAATACTTTTCATGTCCCATTTAAGTTTTTATTAATATAAGCAATTTACTGACCAAGTTTAATGTTACATTGTGTAGGAGGAATAGCATGTTTCGTCGTCGTGATTCTTACATGGGACTGATTCATCATTTGTTTTTATGTTATGAGTATTTAATCATGATTGTTGTATTTGGATTATTATAAACTTTGTGCTGATATATATGAAGAAGAATTCGTTGGTTTATGTGAGGAACTTTTTTGTTTCGTGGTAAAATGTTGAAATTTTAGTAGAGTAGGTTTGAATATTGGACCACTATACTTATCACAAAATAAAAATAAAAATATTGGACCCCCATTTAAAAAATTTAACCTGCTTTATATAAAATTTCATTCACATGTCTTATCTCGTCAAAAGCAAGTTTGTATCATAGTTGTTAAACTCGCGTAGTCACGTGGTCCATGAGAAATACAACACAATCAAAATCATCTCCACCAGTTGTTAGCAACCCCACATAAACACAGTTTCTGTGACACGTTAGGCGAAATATTATTTCGTTTTTGGCACTCCTAATGCTAATTAGTAATTAGGTAACTATAATATCTCGTAATATCCCTTCCGCCCTTGCTAAATCAAAATGGAATAATTCTTCATTTAAGCTTAAAGAAAAAAAAAACGAATAAAAACAAAAACGGCAAGCGCACCATGTGGCTCATAAATAGCTCTATATAGTGTGAGATACGTGAAGGAGAGAGTAAAGAAGAAAACACACACACTTTGGATCTTCAATTATTTTCTCAGTAACTTCAGAAAGATCTTTAGAAAAAAATGGGAACAGCTACTTTCATAGATATTCTTCTCGCTATCCTCTTGCCTCCTCTTGGTGTCTTTCTTAGATACGGTTGCGAGGTAATTACTTCTTTTTAATTTTGTTTGATCTTCTTCATGATTAAACGGATTTTAATAGTTACAGTTTCTTCATCAAGTTGTTCTTTTCAAATAATATAATCACAAAAATTTAAATTGGAATTTTGTTATATTTTATTGCAGGTTGAGTTTTGGATATGTTTGGTTTTGACGCTCTTTGGGTATCTTCCTGGGATCCTCTACGCCCTTTATGTCCTCACCAAATGATTTACCATCTATCCTCTCATCTTCCCTGTTCATCTCCTTGTAAGCTTTTTCTCTTTAGTCTCTCTTTGTCTCTCCTATAATATATGGTTACCTACATATATACATGACCATGGAACGAGATTTAAGAAGAGTCATCTTTTTATATAGTTTTTGTTTAGTGATTTTTCATTGGGAAATTCATGTTAGGTGGTGAACCTATCTAACAATATTTTGCTGTGAAAATGATCATTTTTAAGTTAATTTAGGTAAGGTGTTGCTTACTAGTTACTAGTGACTTCGAAAATGACTTAACTATAGTGATAGAGCTTAGAAATATATAGCTTAAAATATTTGCTGGGAATTTCAATATCTTGTTCATTTGCAAATTTACAAGTACGATATTTTTTCTGACAGGTTTTCATGTGTTGTTATTGTGCAGGAACAACTGTTTTTTGTTTTGTGTTCTCCTCTCTTTGTGTGACATCGTTTCTTTTATCAGGAGTTTATCCTTGTTGTGTGCTGTATATTTTCTGTTGATTTAAAGAAGAGATCCTTTGTTTTGTCTGAAGAACTTGCTTATTCAGTTTTTTTTTTCATTCATATAATAGTTTTTTTCCCTGTCGTTTCAAATTTTAATAAATAAATGCAAGATTGATAAAGCATAAAATCTTATATTAACAAAATCAACAAACATAATACTCCCTCTGTTTCATATTTTTCTATATAAAAACTCAATTATCTATATATATAATTATATTTCTACCAATAAAAAATTAAATTTTAATATAAAATTAATAAATTTTATATTGAAATGGAAAACAACACTTATTTTGTAACAAAAATTTTTCACTACAACAACCCTTAATATAAAACTGAGGGAGTAGATAATAAAGCTCACACACACAAAAGAGCCGAAGCATAATTCAAAACATTTTCAAAGTAGTGATCTTCCCTTTGAGCAATGAAAAAAACTCAACACTAATGGTCCAATACAACTCCAAGAGATCATCATCCCAAAGCATCAATGTTGATGAGAGCTTAATGGATTTTTTAATGTTAAAAATTTGGAGTGGAACTACTAAGTTCGAGTTGTATCACACAGTTATCCATATAGACCAAACTAAGATTGAATGTGAAAATCGATGATTCTAATTCTTAAAAAGTTTAAAATATATTCCTACATCATTCACAAATATAAAAAGACATTCGCAGATCATATTTTCACAGATAACGTGAGGATGGATAGCCGTAGATTAGATTTTGTAGATAAGCTTCAACACTTGTCATCTCATTTAATCAAAAATAAACACTTGTCTCACCAATATAATACTTGTGGCTTAGCATGAGTAAGCACTAATTAATGGGTATAGTTAAGTAATTATTCCTACTCAATTAATGCTTAACAATTTAAAGCTAAAATTAGCATTTCTAGCTACAATAGCCAGCAAAGTGTGACTATATACAGCCTGTCGACCCTTCACCTCTATCAACATAAAGATTTTTAACCATTTTCAAAACGTTATTATATATACATCTCTAAAAATTGTAAGAACAAAAACAAATAGACTATTGTGGTCATGACCAGGAAGAAGGTAAATCTAGCTTACATTTCAATAACTCGTTGAGGAATAAACACTATAGATGATAGTAATCGTGGTAACTTGTATGAGTTTATTGATGGACATCTCAAGAAACTTTATCATCATAGAAACATAACCCTTATAAATTCGCATCTTGAAACCGGTGAATCTTCCTCAATGGCTATGGCCATGGACATGCCACCAATCTCTATGGCTGAAGCGGGCTCTTCCTCTTTCTTCAACTTCCCTCAACAAACCAGTGAGTCTCAACCTCTAGTCACTTCAGACCATGCACCAGAACATATTAGTTCTCATGGAAGCCAGTTTCTGAATGTCCTAGCCTCCAATGATGTGCAGTCTACAATCCCAACAAACCAGGGGATAGATCAAGTTCCTTCTCTTGGCAACAACTTTTTGAGTGTACCAATCTTCAATCCTCCTCAGCTAACCAACAAGATGCAGCAGCCTATAATCACTTCGAACCATGGATCAGTCCATGTTGATGCTCTTGCAATAATCTCCTCTAATTTATCAACCATGGAGTTAATACTCAAGTTGTGAATCAGGTTTGTGTTTGTGATTAGCATCCATGTATTTCAAATCATAACCAATATCATCAGCTACATATTGTGTTTCAGGATGAAGTTTACTATCCACTAAATCAACAAGATTGGTATGCTGAGGAGATGATGAAACATTCTGAGCTAACATACTTTCCTTGAATGGAGGAAAATCATCATTACAATCATCGCCAATTCTAAAGCATATTCATCGATCCAGTGGATCGACGCCAATGTTAACAATATTCCTATGTTATCTTTCAAAACCAGTCTTTGATTTGATGAGTCTTATCTTTTTAGTTTGTTAAGTTTTGAGTTTTCAAATTTATGTCTTATCTACCTTGTCGGAAATGCTAGTGGTACAATATGAGTTCAGAGTGAGACTCTAGAGTCATTACTTTGGGCATTGCTTACCTTTCTATCTTGTTATCCACCATTTTTGGTGGAGTTGAATTCTTTTTAATCTAATGAATGAAGGAGTTTGACCCCAAAAAAATCAGTAAAGTTAAATCTTTAACCCAAAAACAACAAGGTTTTGAAGATTATTCTCATATATCCGAGTTATGAATTTATTATATGGAAACATATATCTATATATACTATATATGAACAATGTTTGGCCAATTCTTCACATATATATATTGGAATCTGAATTGAGATTTTTTTATACTACATGAATTTTATTCAGATAATCACACTATTTGTTCTATTTCAAATAAAACCCTTTAAACCCCCATAAAATCTTAAATTTACCAATATTATTAGCTTGAACTAGTAACTAAGCAGCGTCCAGCAATATTGTGAATTATTGAAAATGGATTTCATTCCTTCCACAAGACTTATCTTATATTACAGATAATTAAAAATGTATAGTTTTGAAAAAGGTATCAGTATAATTAAAAGGCGGAAATCAGCACAAAAACAAAAAGAAAACGATAGAGAATCAATGTTCAAGATCTAAGACTTATTCGGTACTACTGTAATAGGGTTACTCGTGACTTACAGAAAAAGACTTTAAACCATTTATGGAATAATTATTTTTTTGTTTGTTCATCATTTTATCTCCTATATCATTTTGTAGTAAATTATGGAGTGGGACTGAAGATGGTCTTACACGACCTAAACTTATTTCCGACGAACTAACAACCCACTTATACCACCTAAAATTATATACACATGTATATGCATCAATCATCAAAATGCTCTGCGTCAAGTAAGTATGAAGCTGTATTGTTAGTCTTTGTTCTTCTTCTTTTTTTCTTTTTTTTTTCTATTCTGAGTGCTTTTTAAAATTTTGTGGTGATCGAATCTCGTAGACTGAAACACTCACGAATCATGAGTTATATAGGTAACACTATGAAATCACTAGACTTGGAACCTTTTTTTTTAAACACCACTAGACTTGGAACAATATAATAAAATTAAAGAGTATATTGCTTAAAAGAATTGGCAGTAAAAGTAAGAGTGTATGAACCAAGAAAAAGGCTCAAAGTGAAGCAAAAGAGAAGGAGAGGAATCAAAGTACTCATATATTGTACCTTTTGTACAAAAAGACTGCAGCATTATGTGAGGGCGATAACTAAACAGGGACCTCCTCTCCATGCAAATAATATCAATCATATAAAGTTATAGATTCTACAGGCTGGCTTCAATATTTGTTTTTAGTTATTTATTCTTAAATGGTTCTCAGTATATGATCGATCTTCTTTGCCAAAATAAGAAGAAGCAAATACTCATACTTGTAAACCAAAGCAATGTTTATTTGGTTTAATTGGTTTATTTGAACTTATATATATAGCTATGTCATAATTCACAGCCTTCCAAATTGAATGAATTACTTGGTCTAAACTACTTAGTGATTAATTATGTTCTTAGTCAATGTGAGATTCATAACAAGCTACATTCTGAAATCTAAATTTGTGTGTTTTAGAAACTCATTAAATCGTGTTATTCCATATCATTCTTGGTAAAGATGAAACGCACATATGCTGGTGAATGGTGACAAGTCTTATATACTTACTCTCAAAAGTTGAACAAACATAGTTGTTTACGAGTTTTTTTGTTTTTATTCCCTTCTCTACATCTTTATATGATCATGACGATTTTAGGAACAAGAACTATACACATTGTAGAAAATTATTATTTTGAATTTGTTTAGTAACCATACACAACCAAAAAACTAGATGATGAAGGCAAGGGAAAATAATGAGAAGCTAGAAGAAGAGAACTGTAACGAAACGTCGATTATTAACAACAACAAATAAGACAGAATCAATAAACTCTCATAAAGACACATCAAATAAATAAAAAACAATTTACATATAATCAAGTTATTCATCGTTCATCATCATGCCTTCTCGGATTGGTAAGGAGAGAGAGTTTGACGCTCAGACTCAGAGACACGAGTTGCATGGAACTTGGCGATAAAAGCAGAAGCCTTACGGTCGATACCTGGTTCAGCAACACAATAACGTTTGTCTTCATCACTAGTCATTGCTTTGCGAGTGTAAACGGAGTCATCCCAAGAGGCGTCTGCTTCCACTCTGTGAGACCTTCGTGGCTTAAAGAAGCTGAAGAGAGAAAACCTCTTGCTACTGTGTAATCTGTTTCCTCCCATTAGTATTTGTTCTTGATTTTTGTTGGTTTTGTTGGTTTTGGAAGATACACAAAAGAGACGAGAGAGGTTTTAAATTAGAGATTGTGTTTAATGTGTCGATGATTTAAGTTGAGATGTGGGGTTTGCGCATGTATTTATAAGGAATATGGCTCACCAAAACATTAACGAGTGGACCGATTATATAACAGTTAATTTAACCGGTCAAATTGAGATGGTATTATTTATTCTTTTTTTAATAAAAATATAATTCTTTTGGAACCAAATCTTTTTTTTTTGTTTTATTATTAGTTTTCATTTAATTGGAAAATTCTCTCACTATTATTATCTAAATAAAACATACCCTTACTTTCTTTTTATTTTCTTTTCCCGTCAATCTTAGCAACTCTTGCCTAAATAAGACCACGTTCATTTTCCAAAACATTTTTCATTTTACTAGCTAAATCCTGAACTAGACCTAAATATCTTTTTGACCGACGAATTATGAGCGGTCAATAATATTTTGGAATGGGAATACACGTTATGATTGGAAAATCATTCTATTTTGAACCCTACCGTTTGAAAGATAATTCTCTAAACATTTAATTATGTTTTGCCACAGTCCACGCCACGTCTCAAAACATTCCACCAAAGAACCAAAATATATTCTGAGTAAAAAATATATGTTCTCAACCAAATTGGTTGCACTGAATCTCTCGTAGTTTGTGATTTTTCACTGAGCTTTCTAAAAATCTTAATGGAGTAAAAGATAGTTATGAGCAAAGTTATTCAGACATTTGTATCTCGTATATTGCAAACTTGTATGTAATCAAACCAATTAACACATTTTGTTCATATAAATTGTTATTTGTAAATGTGTCAGAATTTTCTTTTTTAAATGTGTCCGAATTTCAACATGATCAACGATAAGAACTGTAATACATCAGTATGATTTGAATGACTCTTTGAACTCAAGTATCATGTTGAATGACTACATGTATTGTTCGGTAGTATATGTGGTTCATGTAACTTAATTTAACGTAAGTGGGGGAAGTTCATCGTTTTCACAATAATATAGAGATTTACTAGTGATTGCATATATACGTCAGAATGAAATACTACTAGATTCAAAAGTCTAAAATTTGGTGGGATGCAGTATTATTAAATAAGATTAAACAAAAAAAAAACAAAAAAAAAGGTAGAGAAGAGTACACAGTCAAAATAGAAGTAAAAAGGAATCTATTTGGAGAAACAAAGACTAAATATTTTATTAAGAAAATAAAAGTTATTCCGTCTTGTGGAAGAATATATCCAACAACTCTATAACTAGAAGCTATATATATAATCAATAATTAATACATACATAATGCCACTATTCATAAGAAAATATCCTAATCTTCTTTGATAATCTTTCACCTATAAACTGCTTTTATTTTAGCTGTAGACAGAGCTAAGGACTTCACCTCCATCAGAATTCTTCTCCCAGTTTGACCAGAGCAAATTAAAACGGAACATATATTTTTATTTGGAATTTGTTGGTCTACCGGTCTCGAATCTGGTAGTAGGAATATAAGATGGGTCGTAACTTGCACGTTACCAGAAGGTCTAGAAGAACCAGAAGTTTAGAAGATAATAATACAGTTCGCACTACTGGTAAAGAATGAGATTCATTAAGTTTACTTAATATGATTTTGTTAGCGTTAAAAAGGACTAAACAGAAGGTTTACATCAATCTAGGATGTGATGACATTGAACTTTCATTTCTTGTACTAACAGTTAAATCGTACTACTCCCTTGAATAGGGTAAAAAAGGAGCAGGCGTGCAGTTAACTACTCTCAGATTTGATTTTGTAACTATGTTGTTATCTACTTTAACCCATAAAAAAGAAAAGTAAAAATGAGAAAATTAGCACATGCTTTAGCTCGAACTCGAATGTATCTGAGTGGCTGCTGGTGGAGACGAGTAAACATAATATCGTATTTTCTAATTTATTTTGAAATCTACAAATTAACCCCTACAATAATACCAAGTTTTCTGATATATAATATTTATTAAAGTTAAAACTCTTTCATCTTGACTAAAAAATACTTAATCACATTGTACATTTATATTAATATGTGTTAAACTTATTTTTATCATACATGGACATCGTTTTTAATATTGTAGTAAATTATTTTCTTAAACTTCATATACGATCTAATTAGTGTATTAACCTTGATAAAATCTCTTTAATCTTAATGCAATTGTGCATTAAAACAAAAATACCATTTTTTCTAATTTATCTTGAAATACATGGGTTAAAACCTACGAAAAGATTGAATTTTTTGATAAATACTATCTATTCTATTTCGCCTCTGTAGTGTTGTTTAAAAATACATAACCACACTTCAAATTTATATATATGTATGATAAACTTATTTTCATGGTACATCTTTTCTAATTTTTCAGTGAGTAATATATTTAAACTTTGTATACCACCTAATAAGTGGAGTAATCTCTATAAAAACTCAATGTCTGTAGAAACGGAAACACCTAAGATCAGAAAACCTTTTATTCTTCATACTATGTCAGTGAGTGATGGATAATTGATTAAAAAAAATACCATATTTTCTTATTTATCTTGAAATATATGGGTTTAACCCCTACAAAAAGCCGAGTTTTTCAATAAATGTTATATATAGGTCTCTTTAGTTTTGTTTAAAAACACCTAACCAAATTCAAAATTTATATTAATGTTATAAACTTATGCTCATTGTACATGGGCATCATTTCTAATTTTTAACCCAAGAATTTAATAAAATTCATATACCACCAAAATCAATGAACTAACCTTATGAAATCTCTATTTTCTAGAGAACTTTAGACAATTCGGGTATAAAAAATCTTTGATATTCATC